CCTTGTGACAGGAGGGCACCAAGCTCTGGGAACCTGGCACTGAGACCCACCTATCCATGAACAATGTAAAGCAGAACTGAATCTGCAGGGACAATCAGAAAAAAAACAAGAAAACAAATGTCCCTTTTTTTTTTTTTTAAGGTTTTAAGAAAGTAACAACTCAGTGACATCAGAGATAATCATGAAAGGTCAGGACCCAACCTTGTACTTATTTCCTGTGGGGAAAAGGGCAATTAGGCATCTGCCATGGATGGAGGAAGCTCCTCCAGCTGTTTCCCTTTCACCAGCCTTGGCTCAAGACACCCAGTCCAACTTCAGTAGCCACAGCAGGAGACAGACAGGGAAAGCCACGCCGTGTTTGCCCCACCTAGCTCCCCGTTCCAGCATTTAGGGGTAACAGGGACACTGCTGTTGTTTCCAATTTGCCTCTTACCAACCCTGTAGTCAGAGAGGCCAGAAGGAAGGGGCAGGTAGGGAACCACGTGAGAGTCAGTGGACTTTCTCCTGGGAGAGTTGTTAGATCTGGCTTCAGCCATCTCCCTTGACCCACCTAAAATGAACCACCTAAAGTTACACAACCAGCAACTGGCCCAGGCCCTGTAGGCAGGATGTTACTTCTGAGGCTGTTTTAGGCAGAAGTTAGAATGTCCACTTGCTTCCCCCCACCTTCACCACTCTAACTACAGGAAAGAGACCCTAGAGCTTTCCAGAGTGCAGACCTGTTCCTAACATCTGTGGGCAGAGCAGTAAGAAGCCTGTGGCTCCATCAGGAGTCCAAGCTCCGCCTGTCTATGTTTGAGGTTCCAGGCTCCAGTAGAGCCTCCACTGCTTTTGTAGTCTCTGGAAGCATAGGAGTCCCCACCAGGCCTCTTGGGAACTGCCTAAGTTTCCCCTCCTTGCTGGGTTCTATTTGCATCCCTGTGTCCCTGGCCTTGGAAGGGGTTCTATCTGTTATACACAAACTTTTCTTTGGCCTCAGAGCCAGAAGTGCTTGAGGACCATCTCCTCTGCATCTTTCAGGGACAGCCGGAGCCCAACACATGAAGGTATCAACTGCATCCAGCGGGTGAAGGTGGCATTGTTTTTTCATTTTTCATTTTTATTTTATTTATTTATTTATTTGGATGGAGTCTTGCTCTGTCACCCAGGCTGGAGTGCAATGGTACGATCTCGACTCACTGCAAACTCTCCCTGACATTCAGCAATTCTCCTGCCTCAGCTTCCTGAGTAGCTGGGATTACAGTCACGCACCACCATGCCTGGTTAACTTTTGTTTTCTTTTGTTTTTTTTTTTTTGAGACGGAGTTTCGCTCTTGTTACCCAGGCTGGAGTGCAATGGCACGATCTCGGCTCACCGCAACCTCCGCCCCCTGGGTTCAGGCAATTCTCCTGCCTCAGCCTCCTGAGTAGCTGGGATTACAGGCACGCACCACCATGCCCAGCTAATGTTTTGTATTTTTAGTAGAGACGGGGTTTTACTATGTTGACCAGGATGGTCTCGATCTCTTAACCTTGTGATCCGCCCGCCTCAGCCTCCAAAAGTGCTGGGATTACAGGCTTGAGCCACCACGCCCGGCAATTTTTGTATTTTTTAGTAGAGACTGGGTTTCATCATTTTAGTCAGGCTGGTCTCGAACTCCTGACCTCAGGTGATCCACCCACCTCGGCCTCCCCAAGTGCTGAGATTACAGGCGTGAGCCACCACACCCAGCCGGTAGCATTGTTTTAACACTGGGTCACAACCCCGTGGTTTGTGAATTCAGCCTAGAATGTCAATGGCTGGCACCTTAAAGCCATCAAATAGAATACAATATGTACAATAGAAAATATGAGTGTGTACACATAGCCAGGGTAAGCATCGTCCATGAAATTTTTGTGTCATTTATCTCACAACATAAAATGTGTTTCTTGCTGTAGATGACTGAACAAATCCCTGGACAAAAGAACACTGGTTAAGATATAAAGTCAAGGCTGGGTGCGGTGGCTCATACCAGTAATCCCAGCACTTTGGGAGGCCAAGGCAGGTGGATCACCTGAGGTCAGGAGTTTGAGACCAGCCTGGCCAACATGGCAAAATCTTGTCTCTACTAAAAATACAAAAATTAGCTGGGCATTGTGGCAGGTGCCTATATTCCCAGCTACTTTGGAGGCTGAGGCAGGAGAATCGCTTGAACCCGGGGGACAGAGGTTGCAGTGAGCTAAGATCCTGCCACTTCACTCCAGCCTGGGCAACAGAATGAGAGTCCATCTAAAAAATAAATAAATAAAAATTAAAAAAAAAAACACCACACAGTCAAGATCCATACAGAAAACATGTACAGGTCACCTGTTCTGTGTTAGGCACTCTGCTAGGCACAAGGAACCCAGTAAAGAATAAGATATCTCCTAGTCTCAGTTCACTTTCTGGTTGGGAAGCCAATAAGCACACAGTTGCAAGATAGGGTGCCAAATGTTCTGAGAGAGTATGTACAAGGCTATAAAACCCTGACGTGAGAGTAGGCATCTGGGAGGACTTCCAGAAGAGGTGATGCAGTGGAGTTCTCCTCCATCCTATAGATAAGAAAGGGACTATGTTAAAGTGTCAAGGGTTCTCGTCTTAAAGTCCAAAGACATCCTGTCTCCTCGATCTCGGGCGAGTCAGTTAACCTTCCCAGATCCTGATTCCTCATTTACCAAACAGGTGTCTATAAAAATGGGCATAATATTTGCTCTATCAAACTCAAAGAAGTGAGAGATCAAATGAGATAGATAATATATGTGAAAGTACTTTGTAAATTACAAAAGGGGAGGTATTGTCTCTATGGACGAGGACATGGAAGCCTAACAAAGTGAAGTGTCCTACTCTGCAGTGCTATGCGTAGCAGGCCCCCTCAATCCTCAGTCCTCAGCGCCTGCCTGCATTCCTCCCACTGCAACTAATCTACCTTAAAAGAGGGCAGGAGCAAGCTCTAAAAGGACCCCTAGCAACCTGACTATTGGAGATTTTCCTTAAAGATCCTATTGTTTTAATGATGGGAGGTGGGTATGTCAGAACTCCACTTCCCTTTCTGTTAATGAATTAAGATCTACCCAAATTCAGTGTTGAAAGTTACATAAGCGTCATTCAGATCTGTAGCAGCCACTTTCATTTTGGAAAAACAGCATTTCCATTAAAATGGTGTTATATAAAAAGGTTTTGTATATGTGCGTAGGAACAGCAGAAACAGGCACACATGAGCACTGTATGGCACACAGGCATATGGAGATCATGACCTCACCTGTCCTCATGAAGAAGGGACCACGGGGAGCAGGTGTCTCATAGTACCTGGCAAGTTTAACTGTGACCTAGTTGTCCTCTAATCAGCAATAAGACCCAATGCATGTTGGGCAATGGGAACCGCAGCAGGAAGGAAGCCCCTTCCTTGGCAGGGTGAGTGCCATTGAATCACAGACTATTAGGGTTGGATTTAGCTCAGAAGGCACCCAGTGCAATCTCACTCTACACCACTCTTGCCGGCCTTGACCTGAACAGCTACCATTGTCCCAAGGCAGCCCATGTCACCTGTAGACAGATGTGGATCACTGGAAAAGACCTGATATTGAGCTGAAACCAGCCTTTCTGGAGCTACAACCTCTGGGGAACAAAAGCACCTACAACCTTGAACAGAGAGACTCCAGAGTTGAGAGTCCAGGAGCCTTAGCCAGAGGAGCGTGTCTGGAGGCCTAAAGAGCAAGAGGGGAGGGCAGCTAGAGTCCACAAAGCTGAGCTCTTCCTTGAGAGACCGCTATCCATCTAAAGAAAGATGGGACTATGGGGGCAGAGAGAGGGAGAGGAGGCGGGGAAGCCTAAACAGAAATAAGTCCGTGGCTGCAAGGAAAGCCCAGCACCTCAGTTCTCATTTTCAGCGTGGGAGGGACACGGTCCCCAGGTCAGTTTCAGTTCTTACTCTCTGGGATCCTAAGTCCGCCCACACGGACAAACCCCTTTCAGGATTAGAAGGCTGTACTTTTTTTTTTTTTTTTGAGAGGGAGTCTCGCTCTGTCGCCCAGGGTGGAGTGGAGTGGAATGCAGTGGTGGGGCCATCTTGGCTCACTGCAACCTTCGCCTACCGAGTTCAAGCGATTCTCCTGCCCCAGCCTCCCAAGTAGCTGGGACTACAGGCGCTCGCCACCACGCGGAGCTCATTTTTTTGTATCTTCAGTAGAGACGGGGGTTTCACCATCTTGGCCAGATTGGTCTTTAACTCCTGACCTCGTGATCCACCGCCTCGGTCTCCCAAAGTGCTGGGATAACAGGCGTGAGCCACCGCGCCCGGCCTCGAAGGTTATACTTTTATGTGACTTGGTAGGTCCTTGATTAGAGGGCTAAGCAGTGAGTAAGGTAACTTCCGATCCGCCCCATACCCCGCTGGAGTTGCGTTAGGCTGGGCGGATGGCCCTGGTCACCCCCGAAGGGCGGACCCTTTCCGCCTTCCCCGAGTACTGCCACCAAGACGGGAACACCCTATCCCCAAGCACAGAAAGCTGAGCTTTCCAGTGAGTGGCCTTTTAAACAGTTGGGAAGGGGGTGTGGCCGAGGAGACTAGGAGGCCGCAGTCTGGCGAGGGGGGAGTGGCCCGGAGGCGTGGCCGTGGCGCCTGGAATGTTGTTAGGTCCTCTCACCGCATAGTAAGGAGGGGCCACGCCCCTTTCCTCCAAGAGAGCCAATCGGAGCACCGGAGCGGTTTCAAGTCTCCCCCGCCAGCCTGCCCGCCCTCCACCCCACCCCCCTTAGTGATTCGCTATTTCCGTAACAAAATAGCAAAGCTCCGGACTGTCCGCAGCCCCGGCGGCTCACAGGTGGAGGGTCCCGGGACCTAGGATACAGTCCCGGAGCAGGAAGCTCCAACGGGCCGTGAAGAGGCCGAGTCCAGAGCCCCGAGGCGCGCGGGGGTGGGCGCTGCAGCCGCGGGTTGTTTATCTGGAGTACGGAGGGGAGGGGGGAGCCTGGAAACCGCCCCGTGTCCCATTTCCTCCTCTTGTTTTCGCTCCGGATTCTCCATGTTGGACCCAAACTGAGGAACCCGGAGCTGCCGCCGGGGAATCGGGGCCGGGGGCACCCGGGGGAGCCACTGCCCGGGCCGCCCGCCCTCCGTGCAGGCCGCCTCCCTTCCCGGCCCGGGGAGGAAACGAGAGGGGGGATGTGAACAGCTGTGGAAGTCGGAGTATCGGGAGCCGGAGCGGGCCCCCGCCCAGGCCCCCCAGCCCAGCCCGCGCGCCCGCCCGTCCTCCCGCCCAGCCAGCCCGGGCCCGCGGGATTGTTAGATGGAACACGGCTCCATCATCACCCAGGCGCGGAGGGAAGACGCCCTGGTGCTCACCAAGCAAGGTAGGGGCAGCAACTTCCCAAAACTTTGCGTCGCCCCCGGGCGCGGAGGGGGCTAGCACAGCCCCAAACCCAGGTCTCGGCCGTTGACCTCCCGGGCTCAGAGCCAGCGATTCCGACTGGACCTCTTCGGTCCATCCGCCCCCGCATCCCGGTTGGCACTCAGACCTCCGTGGGGGCTGCACGGGGCCCGGGAACCCGGCGCCCGAGGGGTCGGGGCGTCATCGGCGCAGCTGTCACCCTGTCCCGCAACCCCTCCCCCCGGGGCTGAGAGACGAAGGGATCGCTCTCGAAGCACTGGGCCACCTCGCGTCTGCCCCCTCCGGAGTTGGGGGCTGGGGTCGTCACTTTCCTTCACCGCCGCGCGCGGTTGCCCCGGGATCGCGGGGAGGGGTTAGGAAGGGGACGGAGGGGCCCCCAGCTGGAACGGAGCCGGGACTGGAGTCCAGCCCTTCCAGGCCCCCCAAGCCTGAGGTCGCTCCGGCAGCTAGCTGGCGGTGACGCCGTCCGGTGGGACTTGGGACCAAGTTCACCCCTTGGAGGCGGGGGCGGTCGCGGTGGGGGAGGGGCCCGGGCCCTGGCAGACCAGACGTGGCGGATCCCCGGCTCAGCGCGGGGCTGGGGACCTCGGCGGCGCGGGGTTCCCGCCCGGCTGCCTCTGGCCGGTTTCGCTGAGCAAACAAGCCCGACCCCGAGGCCCGGCCAGAGCCCCTCCCTGCCCGGTGCGCTCCCCCGGGGCCGCCGCTGCACACACAGAGCCGCGTTTGTTTAGCTCGGGAGCGGTGTCCCTGGTTACATAATTCGCCGGATGGCATCAGACCCGGCGTGGTTCTGAATCGCGCAGCGAAAAAGTGCGAGTTCTCTGTGGGCAGCGGCTGGGGGCCCCCGGCTGCCAGAGTGTCAGGTGGAGGTGAGGGGGGGCTCGCGGGGGTGAGGTTGAGTTCGAGGCCTCTCCCGGGGCGGGAAAAAGCTGGGGCCCGAGGGTGGAACCTCTTAGTTTGGTCACAGTGGGGGACTCGAAACTCTTTCCTCCTCCGCCACGTTCTGCTTCTGGCCTTGAGGAATGTGTCCAAAATAGCGGGCAGCATTTCCGCGGGGTGTAAGGACGAGTGTGGCGTTTCTCGGCAGAGCTCCCGGACCGGGGCCACCTGGCCCTGGAGGCTGGGGCGGGAGCTGGCTCCTGCGGCCGAATTGGGAGCGCTCCCGCCCTTCCTCCACCGAGCGCGAGGGGCCGGTGCTGCAGTTGAACACACTGAGGCCTAGAGCCTGGTAGGCGGCCAGCTTCGGCGCCTAGTGCGCCCCACGGCTCCCTGTTTGGCAGCATTCGTCAGCAGGTCACTACTTCTTGGGGTTCACGTTCCAAGGAGCTCCCCCAACTTCCTTAGGGGCAAAGCTGCTGAGTTGGTGGTATCAGCCTCCGAAATTCTCTCAGTGGAACGAGAGGAGCTGGGGGGGTGGGGGAGTTGGAGGAGGAGGCAATGTGTTCCTCTTGCATCACTGGCTGGGCTTTAAATAAGCCTGCCCTGAGGAGGGATGAGCCTTGCCTACTCAGATCCCAACCCCCCCAGAAGGCTCCGGCCTTCCTGACCTCGGTGTTGCCATGATTTCTGCTCTCCTGGCTGCATCAGTAACCAGGCTGTGACCCAGGCAGCAACTTCACCGCCTCTACTGGCTGCTCAACTGTGCTGATGGCTAGAAAAGGGAGGGAGGCTGCCTGTGTTTATAGCTCACTCCTGACTCTTCCCACTCCCTTCCCAACCTCATCCCAGGAAAAGACCGTAAGAACTAGGCAGAGGGGAAGGATTCAAGAGGGGCCAGTGGTGAAGAGCGCGGGTGGGGGAACCCTGTGCTCCCCTACTAGGTCCTCCTCTCTTGCAGGGGCTCGGGAGGGTGCCTAGGGCATCTTGGGGCCACGCCAGGAGTTAGGGAAAGCTGGACTGCGCAGAGGCGTCTTGTAAATCAGAGCTGTAAGTTTCGTCCACCAGGGTGAATGGCAGGCCGCAGAATAGAGAACAGCAGAAAGCAAAGCAACTGGCTTGACAGTGTTAAGTTGCTGGTGTTGGATTTTCTTGGAGTTAATGTTTCTCCTTTTTCGTGTGTGTGGTTTGTCCTTCAAGACTTAGCCCTTGAATTCTCAAGCCAGCAGCCACTGGGTCTCTCCCTCGCCATGTAATTTTCTTATTCTTATTATTTTTTTAACTGAAATGGAGTCTCACTCTGTCACCCAGGCTGGAGTGCAGTGGCAGGATCTCGGCTCACTGCAACCTCTACCTCCCGTATTCAAACAATTCTCCTGCCTCAGCCTACCGAGTAGCTGGGATTACAGGTGTGCGCCACCACAGGCAGCTAATTTTTTTTGGTACTTTTAGTAGAGACGGGGTTTCATCATGTTGCCCCCACTGTTCTCAACTCCTGAGGTGACCAGCCCCCCTTGGCCTCCCAAAGGGCCTCCCAAAGTGCTGGGATTACAGGCCTGAGGTACTGTGCTGGGGGTGGGCCTGCCCTCGTAATTTGATTGCATTCCAGAGAAGCCATGCTTTCTTGCTGGGCTGCTTAGGCACCCAGCAACCACTAAGCCAACTTTCTGAGTCCCACATCATTTACAAACAGAACCTACATCTTCAAAACCAAAAGCTGGGGGACTGGGGAAGCAGATGTTTTAATTAGCTCCTTTTGGAGTTCCTCCTCCCCACCCCCTCCTCTCCACTCCCTTCTCCCCACTCCCTCCTCTCCAAAACATCCCATCTCCGTGCCCTGCCTGCCTTTGGAAAAAGGGGAAGAAGGAGTGTAAAGCAGTTTATTAATATAAGTAAATTTCTGGAGAAAAACAAATGGCTCCTAGCTTGGGTGGCTTTTCAGTGAAGTTACTTGCCATTGCAGATTTTTTTTTTCTTTTTTAGCATTCTGTTCTCTGAGGTTTAAGGCTGGCTGGTTGTGTTGATGATTCAAAAGTAATTACAGTAGGGGAAGTAGAACAAAGTTGCTGAAAGCATTGATGATAAAAGCACCAAAATTGGATCATCTTCTCAGACAGATGGGTGAAATGGCTTTCTGGTACAGCAAGGACAGGCTTGTGTGTAACATCAAAAAGAAAAGAAGAGACGTTAATATCTGGTTGGCAAGAATGGCCATTTATTGCAGCTCTATATGAGATTGTCACCCTATTGCTAAGAGGTTGGTTGTAACCTTGGCTTTGGAATTAGATGGGGAAAAGCCAAGGAAACAAGACCCACCCTGTAACCTCCCAACGTGAAGTGAGACCCGGTGGAGGCAGCCTCTTCCGGAGTTCTCAGTGACCCACACGCTTCTTGGAGGAATCAGAGATGTTTTGGTTGTCCATGAATCCTGATGCCCCCCTTCCTCTCAATGATGCCTTGGATTACGTTCTCACATGCAGAACTGGACAGGTTCTGATAGCTAATTGCAAGGATTCTTCTGAGACTGACCATCCCTGAAAGTTAGGAGGTGGCAAGTTTTCAGGATGGCTAGCTCTTTTGTTATCCGCATAAGGGAGAAATTCTGGCTTATTCCCTCAAGAAGTTGTTCAGAAACCCATGACTGTAGATACAGCTAAGCCTTTAACTTGAAAAGCTTGGACATGAATGTTGCTGGAGCTTCCTTCCATAGCTCACTGTGTGGGGGGTGGGTGGGAAACCTGCCTGTTTATAGCTGGCTGCTCCTGCCTCTCACCTTCCTTTGCCTACCCTGGGTCTTGGCCTCTTTGTGCTCTCACAGTGACTGCTGAGGCTCCCTCCTGCATCTCCTTTGGAGTTTTCCCCCCATCTTGGGGTAGGGATTGGAGCCTGCATGGTGACTGAAGCTTGTGTTTGCTCCTGTCCCCAAAATCCCAAAGGAGTGCCGATAACTCAGCTACAAAGTTTGTAAATGCCTAACATCTGGGGCCCGGGTGTTTGCAGTTGACTTGCAGAGCTTTCCGCTGAGCAGCACTGGAATTGCTGGGAAAAATCCCTCAGGGGATGGCAGAGGTGGGGGTGTTCCTTTGTCCTCTCCTCTCAACCAGAGGTCTTAAAGAAACTGGGTAGCTGAGAGGTGCCGGTTCATCCTTTCTCTCAGTGGGACCTTCCAAATCCCTTATCATGGATCTTGTTAAAATGGTCAAATACTATAGAAGTCACATTTCTAGCCAAGGTGAATTGATGCTCCCAACCTAACTGTGGAGAATTAAAGTGTTTGTAAGTAAGTATGGGAAAGAAAGACAATATGTAAGTATATCCGGGATTGTGTGTGTATGTGTGTACATACTCAGTACATAGCTTCTCTTTCCTTTCTCTTCCTTCTCCGGTTTTTTTTGTTTTGTTTTGTTTTGTTTTTGCTAGCTTTTGGATAATTTGGGGTATTGTCTTTTCCTCCCATCATGGGAAGTTTGGTTCTTGGATTGGATGAAGTGGGAACAAGGTCAGGAATAGTGGCTAAAGTTTTTATTGCTACTTCAGAGCAGTTTCTGAAACAAAATTGCTCCAGGCGTGGGTTCAAATCTCTTCTTTTCCTATTTACAGTGAGACTTGACAAATCAGTTTAGTATTCTGAGTACCTTATCTATAAAATAGTATTAATGATGTCTACCCTTCTATAATACCTGGTACTTAGTAGGTGCTTGATAAATATTAATGTCCTTCTTTTTTATATAGTGAGACTACTCTGTTCGCCTTCCTCCATTCCCCGAAGGACACAGTGTAAACAGCACGTAGTCTTACGGGTTTTATTGTTCAAGACAGGTGGTCGGGGGTCAGAGGGGACACTGACTGTAGGGGCTTGGGCCTTCTGGAAGGATCAACTTTTCAGGCTTACAAACAGCCCTGCTGCACAGACCCCTCCTTTGTGCCAGTGTGACTTGGGATGTGATTTTAGCTGCCTGGGCTTTGGGGCTTTTGCCATTCTGTCTGGTGCGTGGGTATCTGGGGGTGGGAGGAGGCCAGGCATATGCCCTTGAGTCTCTAAAGTCTAAACTGCCTTAGAGGTCCTCAGATTTGGATATAACGAAT